CCTCATTCAGAAGTGGATTGACACGAGGGCTGGCCATGCAACATGTAAATGCGTGCGCGTGCAAATGCACGCACGTGTAAATACATGCATAGCCAAACACAAACAAACCGGTAAAATATATATAAAGGTGTAGCCATGCAACGACTTGCTCGTGCCACTGCTGGCGGACGTGCCTCCACTCGAAGGGGCCCTTGACAGCCCCTCTAGAAGATCGTTCGCCTGGCTCTTCCACGCTGGACAAACATCTTGGAATAAATCCACACTCACCTTCCGATTGACTGTGGCGCTACAAATGTAATTACGAATGAATGCGGTTCCTGTTCACACTGTTGGGTGGACAGACGTATGGGATGGGGGGTAAGAAACTTGCACCATTGTTTCCCATATTATTATTTCAACTGTCGCGCCAGAAGCTGGAATCCAACCGGCGCGCTCGGGATTGCAGGACGAACTATTACACCACGGCAACATCTCCCCCCCCCGCCCCACTCACAGTATATACACATTACACTTGTGCCACGGTGGCGAGATGGTAACTACTTTGCCTGGTTTACAGGAGGTCGTGGGTTTCGATCACGACCCTGACGCTTGTATATTTGGAGTTTGCGTGTACTCCCCGTGGTACCGTGGATTTTCCCCTCCACATTTAGAAATCTCCGTTCATAGCATTTGGCTGCTGTAAATTTCCACATGATAAGCCACTTCGTTGAGCTCTCATTTGTGGCCAGGTCGCTTATGAAAAAGGGATATATAGCTCAGTGGGGACTTACCTGGTAAAATAAATATATAATACGTATAAACAATTCTCCCCACGGCAAAATCCAGAATTATGGTACAGGAAAGAGTGATGACGATAAAACAACGCTTACGCATGACTGCAAAAGCGGGGGCCTTCATTCATCTTCGGTTTAACTGTAGTTTAATGGGGCATTACACGCTGACGCAGCACGCGGTAATATCAATTTGGTGTCACATAACGGCATCGTACAGCCCAATTTCCCTCCAATTAAATTGGAGCGAGAGGAGTTGTGAATCCAGGCGCCCCCATTGCACGCACAGCAGTCGCCTCTCTCGCGAGTGCGTGTTTGGCATTGTGGCTGCCTCTTGCTCACTCTACTTACTTAGCATCGATCGAATAGAATGTAAACTTCCATCGAGCACAGAACATTGTGGTGGGAGGTGGGGGGGGGGGGAACGGCGGCTTGCAAAATTTGCATCCCCGATGGTGTCAGCAAACCAATGGCAACAGCGGACGCAGCTCCAACTACACTTTGTAAGTCCGGGTGTCCGACTAGCGAGTTAACGATTTCCGGTTGTAATTTCTTTAGATTACGGATGCACAATCACCCGCTGTTTGCCAATGCTATAATGAATGACTGTTGCCATGCTATGCGTAGGTCTGACAAACCCCTATTGAACGCGCGTGTCACTAAACTGAACGACTATGATATAATTATTAGAATTGTATTATGATTATTCGGTGAAGCTGCAGCTTTGTGGCAGTGGCGCAGACATACAACACAAAAAACGTCGCATTCGTCAATAACACTGTGGCCTTAAAACAACACACATACAATAGGGGGCGTTTTTGGCCAATTTCCCTTGGTCATATTTCGACGTATTTGCCAGGAAGATGGGCTATTGTCCAAAACGGTGACAAACGTGTTCGTTTTTCCTTTTAAGACCGCTGTGTGTCATTGACGAAAGTGTCGAGTTTTCTGTAATAATTAAAGGTTCTTCCATCAGCGTGATAAAAAAAATGGAACTTATACTCTTTGGTTTATTCGGTAAAGTCACGTAGGTAAAAAATAAATAAAATAAAATAAATGAAAACAACTAAATTAAATCACGACGTTTCGAGCTCAACACAAGCGTCCTTCTTCAGGTGGGGACAACGCAGCGAAAGCACAATCGCTTAAGTGTGCTTTCGCTTGTGTTGCCCCCGAAACGTCGTGATTTAATTTAGTTGTTTTCATTTATTTTATTTTATTTATTTTTAACCTATGTAACTTTACCGAATAAACCAAAGAGTATGAATCCTTGCAGTCTTAAATGTAACTTGTTTGCAAGAGCAGATTATGCAAGGCACAATACCCGGTTCACGTGTGCGAGGAAGACCGTGGATGACACGGATGGATAACACCAATGCATTGGACGAGGCTCACGCTGGAACAGACAATGAGGATAGCAAAAGGCAGAAGTCAGTGGCGAAAGATTACCCACGGTGCGGCCAACTTCTCGGATCAAGGATGGCTGAAGACGAGACGAAACCATCAGCGTAATCACCTTTTGCGCGTGGGTGTCTCTTAGCAATATCTCGACTCTGGGAACGGAACCCGCGCGTGCGCAGCGGCGAGCTGGCACGTGTTATCGTTTCATCTCGGGGACGAGCGCGCATGACGGATAACACGGGCGTGCGTTATGAGTGTGTGAGCGTGTTTATGCCGTGTCGGTTTTTTTTTTAAACAGATAATGAACACAGACCAATAGCCAAACACAAATAATAACATTATGAGACCTCCTTTGCCAGTAACAAGATATAGTAATAGGTTTTTACCCTTTTAACTGGCACAAAAACTGACACCTTTATACAAGGGATCATGTTTGCAATAACCTAAACACAAGTAGTCAAAATGCAAACAAAAAAGACAACTCTGATAATACGCACTGTCCTTGAATTTGATTGGTCCACACCCGAGACGGCTTTTCTTAGAGCCCAGTCTCCACGCCAAAAGGCGTCTTCTGGTCCAACACCAGTGGAGACTGGGCTCTAAGAAAAGCCGTCTCGGGTGTGGACCAATCAAATTCAAGGACAGTGCATATTATCAGAGTTGTCTTTTTTGTTAGCATTTTGACTACTTGTGTTGTGGTTATTGCAAACATGATGCCTTGTATAAAGGTGTCAGTTTTTGTGCCAGATAAAAGGGTAAAAACCTATTACTACAAACAATAATAGCAAAAAAATCACGATAACAATGCCTTCAAGGGAAATGTATATACAATAGGCCACCTTTCAGGCAATATGCCTTCTTCATATGTGATACAAAAGGGCCATTGCCCGATACGTCATGAACTATGGAGAAGGACCATTACCAGTAACGTCGCCTATTATATACTTTTCCTTATAGGGCAATGTTATTGACAAATGTGTAGAATGTAATGATTGTACAGTAGATGCGAATTGACACATTTCTTGAAATGACCGTGGGTTGAAGGAACTGGCGAAATGAACCGATGGAGCGTGGTGTTCGCAAGTCTAGCAGTGTGAGAAAGGTTTTAAAATAGATGTTGTCTGTTGCAGTGTGTTCATTAAACACAATACGAAACAGAGGAAACAGTCAATCTGTAAAACCGAGTGCTCGACATGGGCGGGCGGTATTCCAATCGTCAAGTGAATGAGAAGAATGACAGTGGGAGTAGAACTACAAAAGTGACAGTGGTGACAGATGACGTCCTATCATGAGACACCATCCACCGCCCATCCACGTAGCGATCGAAATCAACGGTAATCGTACAAAGTTGTACCCGTGGCACCACACCATGGGAATGGAGTAGAGGAAATTCCGCATACAGGCAACAGACAGACGGGCAAGACGAACGAGAAAGGAAAGGGGTTGCCGGGACGGGAGTTCTCCAAAAGAAAGGAGGGCACGGCTCAAGATGAGCAGCAGGGAGAGAGAAGGAGGACCATCTGGGAGGAAGGAAATGAAGGGTAGAAGGAATGACCGTGGCCAGGATGTCAGGGATGAGAGCGGAGAGAAGAAATGGTAGAAGAAAGGAAAGGGCGTAAGTTCGCTGCACTGAGCAGCACCTGTTTTCACAGGGGGTGGGGAGAAGGGATGTATTCATAGTGGGGAGTGGCCACAGAAAAAAATACATGATTCAAGGGAGTCTGTAGCTGATTCAGATATATATATAATTTTATAGTAGAGCACATGAGTGCTCCAGCACTTTCGAAGGAAGGGTTGCTGGATCACGTAGAGATTTGTGAAGCTCGCAAACCCACGGGGTTATGAGGTATCCAGCAGATGGATACTGCGAGTGGGTTCATACATTTCGCTTTTGACGATGCCAATGGTTATACCCTCGTGTACAAGTTGTGGTTTGTCCGGGTGCAGTACTCTGGTTTCTTACGACACGAAGCAGAACCCAAATCATAACTTAATTAGCCAAACATCCTAAGCAAGAGTACTGCGACTCGGCACACAAAGGTTGAGATCGTTTAGACTTTATAGACTGTGAGGTTCGGTGCTGTTGGTGAGGACCAATTGAGGCCTACACAGCTCACGAAAATCCATAACCACGCCGAGCCGGTTATGTTTGACAATTACTGCACTCGTTTCAGGCTCAGTCGACCTAGGGGAGGACGTGGCCAGCTGTATCACTTGCCACTGATGTGATAAATCAAGGCCAGGCAAATGATTCAGACTCGTCGGGATTGTCGTGCAGTGCATGAAACACATTTCGCCATCAATCCACGCGCCTACAGACGCACATACACTCACGCGCACTCACTTGCATACAAATGTATACACACACGCGTGTGTGAATTCTTACACTCACACACGCACACAAACACAAAGATCACCCCTGTAGCCTTAACAGACTGTTGGTGCAAGTGGTTTTAGTGAGCACCTATGAAGGCCGGTAAGGCACACCTACGGGTTCGTGGCCAGTACCACGCCCGGCCGCCTTTGTCTTCCTAGTGGCGATGTTTACGCATCGCACCGGGTTACTGTGCTCATTTGAGGCTGAGCCGACCTAGGGCAGGTCCAGAACCGGTCCAGATAATTATCTTCTCTGTTATTGGTCGTGAACGTGAAATGCACTCGAGTTTGCCGGGCTCTGGTGTGCTGCGTGCACTACCGCTCCCCACACAAACACGCACACTGCACTAGCGGGACTGCTGGGGGTGGGGGGCTTGGAGTAGTAGTAGTATGGCGACGACGTCATACGCAGGGGGGGTGGTGGAGTGGCGTCAGGAGGGGAGGGGGTGGCGGCGGCGGCGTGGGGTGTGCGGTGGGAGGCAGTGGCGGTGGAGGAGGAGAGGAGTGAGGAGCGGACGATCAGGGTCTCGCCAAGATGGACGTAACAGGAGCCACGGGAGGAGCGTATGGAGCCGGCATGGCAGGAGGAGTGTTTGACCCCGTCGGTCTCATGAAGCAACCTCAGACCATTATGAGAGTCGTCAACTGGGTGAGTGGCGGCTCGAGGTGTGTGGCCTGTGTGAGAAAACGGCTTAATCGTGGAAACGCATCGGCCCGCCTGTTTCGGACATACATACATACATACGTGTGTGTGTGTGTGTACATAATTTTCCCTCCCATGGGTACAGATAGGACATTGCCTCGACGCGAGCGGACACAACCAAGGTCGTGTGTCCACCAATGTAATCCACAGTCATAAACGCCGCAGTGCGAATTTATCAAAAGGTGGGTGCCTGCCTTAACAGAAGGAAGCCTTGCGCGTGTCGAGCGAGGCAGCGCCGGGAATAATCTTCGCGACGCGACCCATTGTTTCATAGCGGTACGGCAGGTGCGGTGGTGTTAACGATCCGTTGATGCGTTATCAATCGTGCTGTTAATGAGTACAATATTGTCATCCCTCTGCCAAGTTCAACAATAGACGACGTGACCGTGTCGGCTCTGTATTTGAATCGGAAAATGAGACGCGTGACAACATACACACAACAGCGTGCTTATTTTCGCGCAGCATGTAACCTTGTGTAAGAGCGATGCAATTAGACCGATGAAAACAGAGGGGCGGGGAGGTGACAACGATAACTACATTGACGTGGTGATGTAAGTGAATGGGTATGCCCGCTCTTGGGGATAAGCATTATGAATGGAGAAGCCGGGGTGGACACCACAGGGCCTATTTCAGCACCAAGGTCAGTTCCCGGGCGCCGTGCGCAAACCGCCTGAGCGCCCCCTTCCTTTAATCGGCAGTATAATTCCCTCTCAGCCTGGTCGAACGCGTGCGTGCGAGCACGCTTATTTCTCAATCAGCGGGTGCAGCCATCGGGTTGGAGCGGTGGCGCAGTGGTTAGCGCATTGCGCTATTAAATGGGCAATCGCTAACGTCAGTGGCGAGTGATATCTGAACCTTGTTTTTCCTTCGGCGCTCTTCCTTCACCAAACCGCATCGCCCAGCATGGTGACGTAGAGTCACACAACCCCCAACGACCGACACGGTGTGGGGAGGGCGGTATTCATCCAGCAGTGGGTTGACAAAAGGGGCTCCAAGTTGATACTTGAACGTTTATTTAAAAGCAGGACCTGGGTGACAAAGACTGATGGATAAATGAATAAAGACAACTGAACAGCAATGAAAGTTTAATACAAAACTTACCCACATTATTAAACATACATTAAAACAACCAAACGCACGAAAACTGTTATGGTCTTGCTCGAGGCCTTATCATTTACTGTGGCGGACGTGGGCGAGCAGTTTTATTCAGAAAAGTCAGAACAATAGCAGAAGTCGATAGCGAAATGTTGTCAAAAGAATTGGAGGTCGTGTGAATTGGTGCTCCGCCAAATTACGTATTCATGCAGCTATTCGCAACGTGGGCATGAATCATCTCCCTAGATTTACCACTCATGATTCACGTTCACGATTAGATTCAATAATCGATCAAGTGTGTCTCTTCTTACCGCATCGTTTGTTGCATATTTTTCTCGTTCTGCATTTTTCCGCAAGATTCTGTTCACTCCGTGAGCTCAAGCGTGACAACGTGTAAACAGCACTGGCAACGAATCGATCTCTACACGCACGATTTGACCGATTGCGTACGCATGGCGAGGTTAGGAGTCGGTTTCGATTGAATAAAAGCATCCTTACATAATATTGCAAAGTGGGCTTCGTGCCCACAGGTCTGCCCAATGTTTATTAATTATAATTCGACTCGTCACCCTAAATGCGCCCAAATCGCGCCCAAATCTCATCAGATATTGGAAGCTAAGCAACATGAGCCTGCATAGTGCTTTGATAGTGAGCAGTTTCCAAAGAATCATGTGTTGTGTGGACTGCTGCGGGGATACGTTTTAGCAGATGGCAGTCCAGCAAATGCAATGGTTGTACTGCACCGTCTATGCTACCACGTGTTTATTCCTCGCCGTAACCAAGCCACACTTACAAGCGTGGTGGAGTATGACAAAATAATTTCCATTACCAGGACGGCATGGGGAAGCCCTTGTCCAGCAGTGAATTGACAAAGGAGCTGGTACATGTACAGTGAATTGTGATTCCAAAGAGGTGCACGAGTGAAACGGTGATGATGACAATGCTGGGCCGCGAATGCATTTTTATATAAGAAAAAAAAACAATTTACGTCACTTCACACATCGCGCGGGAGGTGCAGGCGGGTCTACCTCCTCCCCACCATGCACGAGAGAGCATTGCCTGGCCTAGACCAACAATGGACACTAAATTAAGGCTGGTGATAAAAGAGAGACAGGGTCACAGGGAGCACGCAGCAAGCGCCGGAACATCACAACACCCGGACATGGAGTGAGCGCCGACTGGAATGGAGCAATCGTTGAACGGATATAAGCAGCTGGGACGAATCCAAGTCGTGAGCAAGGAGGGTCTGGGGGGGGGGGCGGTTGAGCTAAAACACCCCCTACGAAAACTTGGTACACGCCTCCTTTAATACAGGCTGCTGCTGAGCGTACAGATGAGACCGCATTGATTGCAGAGCGACAGAGACTGCATCGCCGAACAGAAGGCTACACCAACAGGGCTCGCTTCTTCTGGGATGTCAGAAAGCGCGTGACCGCGTGGAGGTGGATGAGGATAGAAGAGTGAGTGGAGGGATTACTCAAAACAAAAATCTGAGACTCGGTATTGCTAATAGAGCTATGAGCGCCGTCTTTGTAGAGCAGAGAATCACAGCGACTCGAGTGAAAGACTATAAATAAATACAATTAATATTGCCTACGACGGAAGCACCGTGAATACTTTCGATCGCGGACTGATGTCTGATGCCAAGCAGGCTGGAGGCTGGTTAGCGCTTGGATGGGTAACCACCATGCGTATGAGCTGCTGTTGGCATGCGGCTGCAAGGTGTATCAGGAAGATAAAATGGCACTCAAAGCAATGGACTCGGTCCACGTCGATGAATTTGTTCTGTCGGTGGTGGATTGGGTAAATCTGCATGCACAGAGCTTTTAGCGTCCCACCACCCCTCGTGTGTGGGGTTTTTCTCTGGCCACACCAGTTTCCTTCCGCATGAAGTCAAACGCACAGTAAATGGAATTGACCCAACATCCAAATATGAATATTCAGACTCAATGAGACTATACAGGGTGGATACAGGGAATTATCATTATTATTTACGTAGCGTAATGGTAAATCATAAACGTAAAGTGTCATGTAAAATAGATTGTTTTTGTACGAAGGTGCTCATACACACTCGCGGCGTGTAAAACGTTCCGCTTTCACAGGGGTCATGTGCAGGAATGTCATTGGCACTCAAATTTCCCGAAAATATTCCGAGCCACTCTCAAGCAAATTACACGTTACCTCCTTGGAAATCGGATACGCTGAACCACAAATACGAGTACACACTATTACACACATAAACATACATATGTATTTTAGATATATATTTTAGATATATATATATTTTAGATATATATTTTTGATAGATTTATTGCATATCAAATATTTATTCCTGCCCTACTATTCGGTATGTAATATGAATGATCCATTTATGTATATTTCCCAACAATGGACACAAATTTGTAGAAACCAACATATTGTTTCAAGCCTCTTGCCCATCTCACACCAATCTCAAGACACGTATTAAATCAAGACACTTATTAAATCAATACACTTATTAAATCCACCGTTTCTCTCTCAAGACAGAGCCACCGCTCTAAAAATATTCAATCATTTGGTGAGAAAAGTCAGAAAGCCGTGGGGTATCTGCAAATGGATCCACCTCTGTTTTTGCCAGTTACGAGTGAGTGACGGATGAAAGGTTCAATAATGTTCAGGAAGGGCTCGAGCTAGAATGTGGTACAAATAGTGAAGTGTACGGTCATAAGTAGCAAAATCTCCGACCCAAAATGGTTGAACGAGCCTCTGCAACTCAACACCCCGGATGTCAATTTGGTTTCTCCCACAGGCGAGAGGTGTAAATTGTTTCGCGTCTCGTGCCAAACTTACAACTATACATATGATCCTCCACCATCAGTGAACCAATTAATTCATCTGTGGAATGTGACAAAACCAATGGAAAGTGTACAGGGTCCTCTACCGGTTACGAATATTTAATAACATCGTAGACAGCGGTTAGCACACCGCGCTACAAACCCAACGAGCGGAGCTAGACTACCAGCCACAGCTTGGGGAGCTTCAGAGGCCCTCTCGAAGGTCATTTGGCCTTTTCTTCTCAGCTAGTCACACATCTCTGACGAAGTGGGAGTAGCCCACACGTGACCTGGCGATCGACTGTGGCGTATCCCCGATTTGTCAGATGTGGGCTGGACACTGATGAACTCGTTCGATTGCTTCCACTACCACGTCCCTCTGGATTATACGTCGAGTGTGCTAAGCATCACACCACGGAATCAACCTTGTGACCTTGATGAAAGCCTCATTTCTCTGCACAGTCCCTCTGAAATACAATCCATCATCATCATCGATGTCCCAGAGGCTCTAATGCTAGGGGTGGGGAACCTTTTTTTTCTGCCAAGGGCCATTTGGATATTTATAACATCATTCGCGGGCCATACAAAATCATCAACTTAAAAATTAGCCTGTTATATTTGGTCAAACATTTTATTAACTCACCCCGAATGTGATGGCTGGAACTGCTTCTCTTTGGCGAGACGTGTGATGATGTTTGCTTGTATTGATGATGTTGCTACTCGCAACTGCTTTTTCCAGGTTTGCTCCTAGATTTATTGAATTTCGAGTCCCGCCTGCGGTTGCCTTGGCAGGGCCAGAGACCAAATGATTCCCGGGCCTCATACGGCCCGCGGGCCGGACGTTCCCCACCCTCTGTGACGAATCCATGTCTGGAGGAGTATCCGTCTCGCTCCTCAAACCACTCATAGTTCACAGCACGCAACCCCGCGAGTGACTCTTGATCTTGTATTAGTTCATAAAGCATGTCTTCGCCAGGCAAAAGTTTTCAATAATCATAAAAATTAACCTGATATGTTTTTGTTTTTTAACAATTTTTATCTACGATCAGAAACTAACAACTACTCTAAACATTTGTATTTTTACGCAAATAACTAAAATAGATGACGACTTTTGTTGAACTTCTAATATTTGAAGAGGAACCCATCAAACACCGCTCAATTTAAAGATTCCGTTCTTCATTTTTAAAAAAGTGATTGAACTTAATACTCTATGAGGGGAAGCTCCCATCTTTTACCGTTTTCGAATCATTCAGATTTGAACATCATGAAATGCGCATTTTTTTCGGTCAAAACCGCTTGAATCCGAAATATCTCAAAAACAATAAAAGATAGAACAATGGTTATCGCTCAAATTTTATTTTATGTTTAACGCTCTATCAAACGATCCTATATTGTGAACGGTTTCTGAATGACGCGCACAAACATGTTCATGGGGCACTTAAAATCGAGATTTCAGGGCCTTCAAAAAAATCCCGGATTTTCTTATTTTTTCTGTTGTATCCTAAAAGCAACCTATGTACCAAATGCCAACTTTCTACCTTGTCGGGAAGTACCCGAGAGGTTTTTGAGACATACCGATGAAGATCTTTATTTCTATTCTTGGTTCTTTTGGGAAAGTCACGTAGAAGAGAAATAATAAAATAATAAAAAAAATAAACTATTAATTCTCACGACGTTTCGATTGCAACACAAGCAATCATCATTAGGTGTGAAAACCCACAACAAGAAAATTTGAAAAAAGTGTCGTTTTTTTCTTAACGTTAGCACCACGGACAGCAACTGGCGGTTGTTCAGACGGACAAGTCCATCTATGCTCGGAACTGAGGAAGGGGGGAGAGAAGGAGAATGGAATGCGGTCTGAAAGTCACCATAAGCGTGAATACAATCAATTAAGACCCGAAATGGTTTATCACATCTTCCAATGATTGCTAAGCCAGAATCCATCTTCTCGGTTGAAATTGTCTCTGTGTTTGTATATGTGGATAGCCTCATGAACGAATCTCTCATGGTAGCCAGATGGCTTGCAGAGAACCTCTGTCTTGGTGAAGTCAATGTCATGTGAGCCCACTGAATTATAACAGTGATCTGCCACGGCCGAGGTGTTGGTCCTACCGTGTTTTAGGTCTGCTTTGTGTTCACGGATGCGGTCCGAGAGTCTTTATTTCTATAGATATGTGGAAGATAGTCGGGGCGATTTGAGACAACAGTAAAACATGCAGTTCTGAACTCTAATTCTATTAAGTTTGCAAAATAATCCGACTATATACTGTATTTAGAATAAATGTGCTTAGATTGTATATGAGCTTTTTATGCTGATTAAGGTGGTGGCGCGTTTTACGGTGGTGATGGTGAGGATTAGTGGTGGTTACGTGAGTGGTGATTTTGGCAATGATGGTCGTGGGTAATGGTGGTGCCGCTGATGGTGGTAGTGGTGATCTGTCCTTGGACTCCCCTAGGTCGACTCAGCCTCAAATGAGTACCTGGTGTGGTGGTAAACATCGCTACTGGGGATACAAATGCGGCAGGACTGGGTACTGGCCATCCACCCCCTCGTGTGCCGTGCCAGCCTTCATAGGTCCTCACTAACGGCACTTGCCCCAACAGTCTCTGAAGGCTATACGTGACATCTTTGTCTTGGTGGCGACAGTAGTTCCGATTGTAAACGGTGTGGACAGGGTTCCGGGAGGCTCGGTGCGAAATTTGAGGCCCCGCCGAGGGCAAATAGCGCGCCACCTGCCAGCCGCTGTGCGCTCCAACTCCATGTTGAACATCTGCGATGAAACCAAGTAAAGAAAAACCATGCATATACATGCAACGCTTTCCACAATTTGTTTAAGTAGTAGTATGGAAACAGACGGATAGATCTCAGGGCGAAATGTATTTTCATATTTGCAAATATTTTTTCCCCCCATTAGTTTGTTTTTTCAAGGTTTGGGAAACACTTTTATCAATTTGGCTGGTCTTCAATAGAGCAAAAGCCCACCTGCAACACAACTTTACATTACAGATTCATTCATATTGGATCATATTTAAGGGCGTTATGATTACCTTTAAGGACAGGCTTAGTTGGAGAACGTTAAAAACACCCAACCTCTAAATCGGTCCCCTTGCCCCCTGCGTGCAGGTCTTCTCGGTGATCGTGTTCGGCTGCATCTCCAACGAGGGCTACGTGAGCACAAACTCGTCGCCCGACCTCTACTGCGTCTTCAACCGCAACGGCAATGCGTGCCGCTTCGGCATCGCCATCGGCGCCATTGCCTTCCTCGCCAGCTCCGCCCTGCTGCTGCTCGACCTTTACTTCCCGCAGATCAGCAGCGTCAAGGACCGCCGCAAAGTCGTCATCTTCGACATGGCCTTCTCCGGTCAGTGATGCCTCTTCCTCCAATTGTAGCACCGAGCCATTGCCGAGGTCATGCCGGGGCCGTGCCGAGGTCATGCCGGGGCCGTGCAGGGGGGTCATGCCAGAGCCATGCCGAGGTCATGCCGAGGCCATTCGGAGGTCAATGCCAGGGCCATGCCAGGGCCATGCCAAGCCAGTCCAGCACGGCCCAGGGGAGGCGCCAGGTTGTTTTTTCCCACCTGCAGGAGCCAAGCCATAATGTTGACGCCGCACGCAGTAAACAAGTCGAGACGCACGTTTACGACGCCGTGTCCTTACAGTCTACCGACTGAGTTACACAATTATTGCATTGTTCACCCCATACCTAGACCCATTTGAGCCGGAGCCAGGTTCAGTGAGATGTGTCCAACTCGGCATGACAAACAGCCAATGGAAAACGACCCTTACCGTAATGGTTCCGCATTGGCTCGGCTGTGCCCCTGGGAAAGAGGCATGACTGTGACAATTTCGAGCAACAATTCCTCTAAAATTTCCCCGAACGCATCATGGCCGTAGCACCTTGGCCTGAGCGCCTTCTCCTTTCGTATGGCCGCTGTATATGCTGAGCATCAACTACAATTTCACATTCAGGTGGTAAAAGCCAGGAGTCGTGGAGTGTATCGCCGTGATGTCTCCTACGTATTTGTGGATCGGGCATAGCGTCGTTACACGTCGTATGGTCTGTTCGAGATGGCTACAGTGGCACAATGGAGAGTTTTCAATTTTCCATTTGTGCATCAGGTATCCGCATCTGCCATGGTTTGTGCGGGATGCGGTTTAGAGTGAACTACGAGCTTCATGGAAGATCACACCCAGTGATCCTCCGCGTTGGGTCTGCCTGTGTGCCATGATCTTGGCAGTGACAGTGCCAACTGAGGACGGGGGTAGGTGGATGAGTCGGGGGGGGGGGGGGGGGGGGGAATTTGTATCTGCGTGCCTTTGTCCTCGCAGCCGCGTGGTCGTTCCTGTGGTTCGTCTGCTTCTGCTTCCTGACCAACCAGTGGCAGAAGACCTCGGCGGACGTCGCTCCCTCCTACTCTCACGACAGCGCTCGTGCCGCTATCACCTTCTCCTTCTTCTCCATCATCTCCTGGGTAAGCAACGGCGCCTGGCTCCGGTCGCTAGCGCCGATTATCTCAAATCGCTCTGCCGCCTGGACCTCAAGGTGCGTCGCACTGTCGGGTCGGGCCCGCGCGCCGCTGTTCGGCACGGTCGGACGCTTCCCTTTCGCTCCGCGTGCTCGGAGCTTCCCGAATTCGTGAGAGCGCGACTCGCGATGGGAGCACGGGCCGCATGCTTGGCGAGCTTCTTCGGGGAACCGAATCGGTTTGGCCGGATTTTCTGAACAACAAGATCCCAGCACGTGAAGATGATTCGTCAGACGTCATGCCGAGCAATATTGGAAAAACGCATTCGGGACGCTGTTCAGCACACACCAATGCAGTTGTGTGTTTGCCACGACAGAGTTTAATCCATCCTCTGGTCTCGCAAGGGGCAGCCCCGACCATTTGGACAGCTGTTTGTAGGGCAGCTCATCGTATGTATCTCTTCTGCCTGAAAGCTGACCTCTCTTTTTAATTGAAAGAGGTAGCTTATTTATTTTTACGAATGTCATGTTTACCTTTGCCTATTCAGCGTAATTTCTTTTGCAGTGGTCTTTGGGCTAAATATAGCGGACAGAAATCAATAGATGCTTGAAGAATACATGACCCCTCCACCAGTTCTGTAGGTCAGCGTGCACCCACATGGATTGGCCACGGAAACAAATATTATTTCCGTGTCGTGCATAACCATTTATATATTTATTTCAATCACGGTTGCCGAGCACAGCCCTAAAATGCTGAGCCGCCAGCAACAAACAGCACTGACGAACTTGTAACAGATGAGGGTTGCTGCGTGATAGTCGCTTTTCATTTAATTCACAATTTCTTAACACCACGACGAACACAACCAGGCTTCACATCCTCCACGTGACCCGGCACCTGCACACAATAGTTCTCTGTGGGCCATGTGAGAAGGTCTTGGGGGACAAAGCAGACGATGGCGGGAGGGACTTCCAACGTGGAACAGTCCCGGAGGCAGTCGTGGTAAGCGAGGTGTTGTCACTGCGGCGCGGTGGGTGAACACAGTGTGGAGCCATGGCAAGTGACGGCACGAAACCAGCGCACACCACCGCAGGGCAGCGGCCAAGAGGCAACACCGCTGGCGACTTCCACCACAGTATTGTTGTTCCATTAAATGTATACGAGCCAGGCCTATGACCAACCTCACCCGCAAAGTGCCAGATCGTCAAATCTCGCAAGCGAAGCCGTTTGGAGCCTTCGATGGGGTGACCCCAATGCATAAGCTGCTGTTGAGCTACATGGACAGCAGCAGAAGGCAGTGCAGGTTAATCCATTGTTTTGCTGTATGTCTATGTTCCCACGCTCATGCAACCTGCCTTCAGCAACCCTCAATGACCACCGTGATACAGTACGACTGTGGGTATTGTTGACGAGCTATAATTCAGCACGTGCGTTAGTCAGCGCAGGTTGGTGATGGTGGTAAGGATGTGGCTTCTTAACCTGTGAAAACCCCTCCACTCCCCTGACATCTTCCATCACGTACACGCTACCCAACCAACCCAACCACACAATCCCACCTACAACACCACGCTACCCAACCAACCCAACCACACAATCCCGCCTACAACACCACGCTGCCCATCCAACCCACACAATCCCACCTCCACCACACGACCCGCTCACGCTGAAGGCCGCGAGCATCTTCTTCGCCTTCAAGAGGTACAAGCTGGGCGTGGACTCCACGCTCTCCGAGGGCTACGTGGACCCGGCCTTGGCCGAGGGGCAGGGCGGCGGCGGTGGTGCCGCGTTTGGCAGCGAGGCCCCTCAACCCGGCAGCGGCGGAGACTTCTATCAGCGCTCACCCTCCTTCCCAGACGGCCACGGCATCGACCAGACCGCCGATGGGTACCAGACCCAGTACTAACCACCCCACTCCCCTTCCTGGTACCACGAGTGAGACCAACCGTGCCGTGATGAAAGCAAGGTGCGAACCCCCTAAGCAAAAGAGCTCTTATCTTGTAGGTGCACGCACGTACGCACGCGCAGGCTGTGTGTTTTGGGACTGTCCCGGCAATGGTTTGAAAACAATCGTTCGTGATTCCAAAGGTATCGCACCTAGGATACGGAGCAAGAGCAGACACACCTAGAAAATATTTCCAATCTGATCGGTTTGTTCATTAATTGACATGTGCTTTATTGCCGAAGTAGGAACTTTAAATGAGGATTTTATCATCACTTGGAGGAAAGACGGATGTGGCCACTTTGGCACAACGGGCCATCTTGAGGAAATACCGTGTATAACTTCACATCACGTAAAGCGCACCAAGTAATTTTCCTGATGTGGAGCATGACACATATAACGCGAGATTAAGTTCAGCGATTTAGATTCTAATGATGTTCTAAGAATGGCAAGGAAGAAAAATTTGGCACACAAAAAAAGTTACAATCCAAAGATTTAAAATGACAGATGTTGATCAGTTTCACTCACAGGGCAGGGCCATCCGAAAGTTTAAGTCACCTCCTCCGGTGGGAGTAAGACACTAAAGCCAATTTAAAAGTTGGCAACGCTTGCTACTAATTACGCGTTGTATTACACCGAATGGAAATAATGGCTCAGTGGGTTTACCAGAGTGTCCAGGAAGACATGATCGTATCTGCTTTCTCCTTGACAGACCTTTAAACTTGTGAAGGACAGTCCAGAACACACAGCCGATGTACTTACAAGATAAAATGTATTTGCCCGTTGTGGTGCATCTTCCTTGAAACGAGATATCTAACCTGTTGAATTAAAGTGGTTGTTTCACATGGGCACAGATCAGATATTTCACTTGCCCAGTGGTACCGCCAGCGTTGGCACAATTTGGTTTACATGGTCAATGCAAGTGAATTATGTGACAACCAATTTGGTTTACATGGTCAATGCAAGTGAATTTTGTGACAACCTTTTCACGCTGAGTGGGTTATCAAAATTAGATTTTATTTTACGTAAAAAGAAAGTCCAAAACTATCCTCCAAAGTAGCATTGAAGGAACTAGAAATTGGAGGCAGCCAAGAAAGATTTGGGATTGAGAATGTGGCAGGCTGGAAGGGGTTTAAACCACAAGCAGCTGATCTAGAGGTTGAGCACCTTTCAAGGCGCCAACACGGTGTCCCGATTACAGTAATGCCCCACTTTACGTCGGAGATGCGTTCCTGAAATGTGTGACGACGTATATCGAAACGACCTCAATCAAAGCGATTTACCGAGTAGGTGGAGGCGAAGGCTGAGGCGACGGATACGAGAAAGTATGGATGATGCTGTCAACGACGTAGGTGTGTGGATTGAGGCGACGCAAAATTGGGTAGCGGTGTTTATAAAGTGATGACGTATTTGCGAACCCACGTAAAAGGGGGAGACGTAAATCGGGGTATTATTGTACATCATCGTTAGGCCGGTCATGAGAAACTGATACATTAAAAAAATGCCACTCAAATTGTGCCACCAAAAGTCGTACCATTATACGCTCTGGCCCATAGAGTTGTGGGGCAGTTCACCACTCCAGCCCTGAGTCTCCAAGTAATCATCTTTCCGTGTATTTTATTATATTTCACTCTCAAACTCTGCGAAATAATTCAGTGTTGAGGGACATTCCCTCATTGTGGGACAGGCACTCCAGTTTCCCTCCATATGCTAAGCCACTAATTTTTTTACTTTGTCACAAAAAATTGCCGACTTGGCAACACTTTCCTAGGTTTATATTCTTGGTTCTTTCGTTAAAGTCACATAGAAGGGAAGAACCAAGAATATGAATCCCTGCAGTCACGAAAGCTTTAAATCAAAATTTCCTAGGTTTGTTAACTGTTATTATTCTAGACTCCAAGGAGCAGTAGGGTTGATTGACAAGGCCCCCACGTTTAAGACCTTGCATCTAGTTTTTTTTTAATCAGTTGCTGAGTTAATACCCCGAGCTGTATAAAACCAAAGCAGCCAGCAACTAAGAGCACTGATGATCAACACAGGAGATGACTGCATACACGTTTCTCAAATCGAGCAAGGTCATAGGAACTTGAAAAATTCATCGATGTTGATGGGAGAGTTTCAAATGTTAAGCAGTGCGTGGAACAACAAGAGTTAGAATGTTAGATACATGTTGAGTACCCTAATAGTGTCGTCAAACACCATATAAAACGAGCAATCACATGATATATTATTTGAAAATGATCGTTTTCATATTTTTTCTTAACAGGTTTATGTTACTTGTTAATTTGTGTATCCCAACATCGCTCATCTCTTTAAGATTTTTTGAAATCTCAGCTTTGCTGTGCACCAGCGTGAGATTCTTTTTTTTACGTAAATGCCGTGTTATTAATTTTAATCGTAATTATTTACACGCTTCTTTGTGTAGATGTGTTTAAATCACGGAATGATGGGCCTGGAGTTTGAGAACTGTTCTGGTGGTATTGCGGGTACCGTACAAGGTGCATCCACGTTGGCCAGATAATGAGTGATGGCCTGTAAATCAGGCTCGGAGCGGGTTTGTGTGATCGTCATTGTTGTTGGTGTTGTTTGTGGCCATTGATTTTATTTTTTTTACATTAAGTTAGTATATCAATCATTCACGTGTGGTAGGGTAAAATATGGGTAACGCCCACCTCTTCCAAGATGTCTGAGCAGCATGGAAGTGTCAGCCAAACATAACCCTCTACCAGGCGCTCTGTGGAGCTCCCTCGAGCGAAGGCCCTTCCCGTCAGCAGTGGTGTGAGCGAGTCATTGCAGGGCTGCGCCTTCGCCTGGAACATTAAGACTTGATTTTTCTGAGTGCATTCGCTCGCCCGTCTGTTATTAAATTAGCAAGGGGACTACCTTCACGTGTACAAGCGAAGACGCGCATTACCCTGCTCTGCATATACAGCGCTGTGTGCCACGGGCATCACTTACTTACGGACCTGCCTAAGGTCGCGTATGCCGTTCCCGGGTCCCTGATGTATGGAGGCGGCCGCCTCTGTTATCTATTGCCCAGATAAACACACGGGGCCATCTGTGCTCTATTTCAATGAGCGTGGTTAATGGGATACACACACGCGCGCGCGCACAGAGAGCAGCTGCTGACTGGCTGCACTTAATAAATTGAATGTTCCGCGCGCTGTAACTATACTGCGTCCATGCCTGCATATGATCGTCTCGTCGAGCAACCTATTTCATCGACATATATCGTACATAAACAGTCGTGGGGGTTTTTTCCAAAAATGTAAAAGCTCGCGACGCTTAAAATGGAAATTTTATCGCGAGACAGGCGGCCCTCTCCACTTATTGAACGAATTTGCGCCACACATTTACGGGACACTTGTGCCCATATATGGATCCATGTGTGGCCAGAAAAGTATATCGCCCGTCACAATCCTTTTAGGAATATATCGACTTTTCTTGGCAACACTTGAAATGTTCTGATGAGTGGTCGCTCGCTTCATGATGCAATCCCATTCGCACTTAACAGGGTCTTGTATACTTACGAAGATCCCCCATATACCCTTTAACACTGTTGGAGCGAGTGACATTGGCGAGCAGAACCACGCCCAGCCGCCTTCGATCTTCCCTGCTGCTGATGGAAGCGTCAATTAGAGAACAAGTTGAGGTCCCTTCAGTTATCTCTTATCCACACTCTGGGCACACACTTGCTATGCCTTGCCAACAGTGCTCATGACAACGCAAGTGCGTTTCTGTCATAATTAGAATTTTGCTGAAATAAGTGACAAGTCAAATTTAAACACGATGACTGCTCGTGCCCTGCTCTCGGAGGTGTTTGTCTGATGCGAAATCAAGATTGAATATTCGCTATTAAGTGAACACCACTTTAATGTTCGTTTTTATCGTATAATCATTGGTGACCAGGAGATCGTGTAAACTCACGACAATTGAGAACCCCGTTTCTAAATCACACGTGGCTGGAACTCTTCATTTCGAACCCCAGTTCTAAGCGGTGCTGGCTCCATGTCTGACAGTATTAGCCCTCATTCGGCTACCCGGTGACCTCGTGGCAGATTTTGACACTTGCGCTAATTTATTCTCTATTAAAAGGCCGTATTGTTATGACTTTGAAGCAGCAAAGACTGTACTGTACAGAGAAGTCCCTTTTAACTCGTACGCCTCTGTAGCCTCCTATCAGTGGTTTTATGCTTTTGATTTCAGCAGTATGTACTGTCAAGTTTACAGAGGTTAGTATATGCCTCTGCATTAGATGGCTTATGGACATAAAACTAGCATGGATATAATCAGCTTCATTATCACTACCAGAGATCAATCGTGCTTACATTCATCACCACTATTACAATGGCATCAGTGGAACTGGTTGCAGTCATTATTGGCCATCATGCTTAAATAATCACCATCGCTCTCATCATTAGATTGACTACTATCATTAGCATTTTTCAAATGCAATGCATTTTTCATGCCAAACATTGTGCAGCTCATAATTGCAACTTTGATACAATACCGGGTGGTTCATTAAAAGCCAGAAGTTTTCCTGGAATGACAGAGTGTACATGGAAAAAACTGTATTTAATTGCAGGGTTTTTTTTAAGTATTGTAACTTCACGGTAATGTTCCGGCTTGTCAGTCAGGCTCGTTGTGTCCGTTACGAATCGTCTGCTGTAGCAAAGGGAGGGGATTTCACTACAAAAGGTGACCCCCACCCACGTAAATGGATTTTTTTTTAATACAAAGTATAAATATATGGATGTCTACAACTGTAATAAAGGAATAAATAAAACATCACCAATGCACATGAAGCACAAAGGCAGGCCGCGTGCAAGTGCTGTACAACTCTTATCCGTGTTGATGTGCGGGATAAACATCACGGAGCCTATTATCTGCGATATCTGCGTTCTATTTACTTTCTGCAGAAAGAAAAAAAGCGTATTTCAAATAATACGATGTATTTGACAATTAACTCGCTATTATCCACTGAACATTTACAGATAAGTGGCGCATTTCCTTAGGGTGCAAGCAAGGAATGGGGCCAGTGAAGCCCCGTGGACAACACACAAATGATTAGTGTGGAAATGCCGTGCGACTCAAACCTATCCATGGAAAATGCAGATATGAATGATCCCGTTTGACGACAAACCCCACGGACAATTCAAACAATAGGGGCACAAATAACAAAAGCCTTGGGGACACAATAGCTCCCACTGATAACAGGAGTCATGGGTAATAGGGTGACGGATAAGGGGAGTTCCTCTGTAAACACAGGCTCAATGGAGTCGTGCTCGTGGGCTGCTGTGTAGAGTAGGCTGATATGTGTTTGTCGTTCACTGTGGACCGTGCTGTGTGGAGGTGTTAAAGGAGAAAATATAATTTAGAACAATCCATTAAAAAGGCAAAAGAGATGTATTGGGAACATGGTCCGAAAGTACAGCTTCAAAGGAAGGAAGTTTGGAAAGGAGGATATTGGTAAGGTCAAGGTAAGGTCAAGGAGACAAAATGACGGATGCCGCCCGACGACTTGAAGCAAGTGATGAGGGGGTGTACAGTCGAATGAATAAAGCTTAAGATCAAGCAGGATTGGTCAAGCCAAAGACCTGTCATTGGGCAGATGAGTAAAGGAGGTAATCACAAAACCCCTGACAATCATAGGACATCTGTCTCTCACCCACACTCACAAAGACTCAAATCGCCGTGTAAAAAAAAAAAATTTCGACACCTGTAAAGTTTCCCTTAATGCCCCCCCCCCCCCCACCACCTTTCCATCCGACCAATTGCTCCTACTGCACGAGTCACAAGTCACAAGGTGGCAATTCTGCAAGCGGTGGCAGAGAAGAATTCGAGCAATGAATGCCCATGCTTCTGCCACCCCCAAAGTGGCAGCTGGCAAACTTGAGTGAGAAAACGGATCCCATGAAAACTAAACTAAAGAATGTTTTTTTTTATTTTACCAGGTAAGGCCCACTGAGCTACATAGCTCTTTCCAGAAGCTACCTGGCCTTAAATGATAGCATAACGAAATTACTTATTATGTGGAAATGTATAGCAGCCAAATATTCTCAAAACATTGAGACAACACATTACGGTGCTGTTTGATCATGAAGTAGGTGTTCAATCCACGCATCCATTCCCCCCCCCCCACAACCCACCGTGGGTTTGAGAGCAAATGTAATAATCTATGTGAACATTACAAGGTCGTACACACCTCCTGGTGTGGCAGTCGATACACAATGGTGAAGTTTCTTAAAATCCCTCTACCCAGCAGTAAAGCTGGGTGCACCAAATTGATCGCCAGGTCAAATATGATGGGGTCAAGCGTGGCCAGCTCCCACCTCTTCCCAAGGACAATCTAGCCAATGTGGAGAAGTAGGCCAAATACCATCTAGGGAGGGGGCTTCCTAGGAGATCTCTCCAATGGAGGCCCTTTCCCCAGCACTGCAATGGGCAGACTTCAGGGCTGCAGCTTTACACGCCAGCCAAATAAATAAAACACATTGCAGCCACGATCAATGGCCTCGCAGCCTTCCAATTAAAGTATGAAAAGCCACGCCCCATTTTATTGAATGAGCTTTATATTACACGTCAAGATTCACACAGCGGTCTTCATTAAGCAGCAAACCTCCTCAATGTCTGGAGAATTTACTCGCAATCTAAAAACTCATTACACTTTAGGGAGACCGTGTGTATAATGCGTACAACCGTATTCACTTATAGAATGCCTTTAGAACTTTTTACTGTCTGGTGACTTGCCGTGAGAGACTGAAGTCTTCATTTTCTCTGGCATCCTCCCCACCACCACCACCACCGCTCTGGATATTTCAACAGTGTCATCACCACTGAACCGATCCCACCTTCTCCCGAGTATATTAAACCTCAACACTCCCACATTATTACATCGAGATGGTGCTTTCCTCTGTAGCTACGTGAAATAAAAAAAATGCAAAACTCTATGCTCTCCCTCCATGGGTTTTAGTACAGGAGCCTATTGGCTTTCCAACCCTAAATTATACATCACCATTTGTTCAAGTAGGCTGTGGACCAGATTCAACATTTTAATTAACATCCGAAGTGCTGCTTATTAAATAAATAATGCGGTATGAACATGGAATGTCTCACAACATCTGTTGATTTTCGCTGCCTTTGTTTAACAAGCCCAACTCTGCTGACAAGACATGTTGGTACTGGCAAAGGAGGTCTAATGATGTAGATGCTCACCCCGAGTCCTCATTACTTTGATAGTGCATTGTCTTTGAGCTGTGTGACGCCTTTTGGCGTGTGGACCAATCAGTTTCAAGGACAATGCATATATTATCATAGTGTGTTTTTTGTTTGCATTTTGACTGCAGGTATTGTGGTTAATGCAGACATGAATCCTTGTAAAAAAAGGCTTCAGTTTTGTTGCCAGAAAAAAGGGGAAAAACCCTATTAAGACCCAGATTGCCAAAACCAGTTTAGAATTTGATTGTTCCATTGATGCAAATCCACATTTGATATGGGTCTGGAACACCAATATGCAGAGGACGAAACCATATCTAGTTTGTTTTATGTGTATGGTGTTCCACTTGCAATCGCTTTTACATAACTACACGAATTTATCGGCTAAGAAAATCCTTATTTTTAATTAACCTGTTCCAAGGTTGTACAAATTCACTGGAACAGCAGTAACTTTCTTAGTTTTAAACAGCAGTATACAAGTATAAGTATCGATTGGACCCTTAAATATATGCATGGCTGAATTTCTCAAATATATTCCGGGTCATTGGTAGACTGGAGTAAGTGGCATGCAACTCGTAGCCACGGCGAGTTGGTGTTTACTAATGTAGTATGCCAGACGTGAAAACTGTTTCTCACCAACCCAGACACGGCTAAAATGAAGCCACGTGTACAAGACTTGCAGGAAAAGTGTGTAATTCTGTATACCGAGACATGTCTTTACAAGCGACACGGGAATTATTGTATTTACCCCCCCCCCACCAAGAAAGGCCCAATCACTTACATTTAGGCAACGACTATTAATTCTGCATGTCTTTAATTACTGGTAAGCCCTATGTGCAATTGAAGAGGAAATGTGGTCCGTGTCCCGATTCTAGAGATCGGGAGGCCCCAGCCTTTCATTTGCAGGCGGTTAATCTTAATTAGGGTCTCGATGTCAAATCGTGGGCTTAACTGGGAGAGAGCTGGTGTCTGGTGGTGGGGCAAAAGGCTTCCGGTATGGTACATGTTTTAATCCAATTGTCAAGTCGTGGCAGATTAATTTACAGACAGCATCAGCTGTCATCTCATCAAGGGTGTCTACGGCAGAAACGCATCAGCCATGTGGTTTGAATTTGTAATATTTTCCATTTTAATCCCGAGTGTGCGGTCTGTGCCATGAGCCAAGGAATTCCATTCGGGTCTCAGGAGTAGTGGAACTCTTGATTTTTAAAGAACCGCCCACAAATGTATGACAGTGCTGCTTATGAAAATACTGCAAGTGACCTCCGGCCATAGTCGAGAGCAGCACTCTATAACCAGTTCTGCATTCCGAGTCGCGTTTGCCTTATTATGGTCAAGCCAAATTTTAACTTGGAACTCGAACCTAACCAAAATCAAGGGAAGATCAAGTTTAAGGTGATGGTTTGTGCCGTCATCTGCTGCCGAGGTTGAGACCATCGGCTCACGCGCAGTTAAAGGATTTTAAAATGCCACCATAGTAATTTACTTTGTATTTTTGTTCTTGATTCATCAGCTCAATTTGGTCATGGGTTCCTGCTTGATGGCAAGTGAAAAAAATCACCGCATAGACCTAATTTGCATGACTGAGTTAGTTAAAGCGGCCTTCATTTCCTTATTTCACAAAGCAGTGGAATTGGCAATCGGCGAGGCCACAATTATTAATATTTGATTCTGGGCGAAGAGAGGCATTCATCTAGGCTGCTATAGCCTATGGGAAGTGCAGCCGAGCATCATCTGGCATTGAGAAGCGTTGGGTACAATGGAATAGTTCTACAGCAGCCATCGCGAACCTGGATGTACAAAATAAATGACATGTGCGTTTCGTTGTTATTGTGCAAATTAATGCAAACATGGTGTATACAATGCAAAATAAAAAGAGAAACAACCATACATAACTGAGTGGACTTTATTACAAAATACCGATTCAAGTTAATCCCTCCTTCCCCCCCCCCCCCGCCCCCCCCAGTCACTCCACAGAGGTAATGTAGTTTACTGAATCTCCTCTTCTGATGGTTCTCTGCCCATGCCTGGCAGATTTGGTTTCATAAAAAGGCTCTGGGTAACCTCAGTTCATATTGTTTACATATAAATTTGGCGTCTTATAACCTGGCGTCATCTTCACATGGACCCCACCATCTATATCACTAACGCACGTACACCATTACGAGGGTTAGCACAGCAAGTTGGCAAAGAGGGGAGGTTGCAAGCATTAATATGGCAATTTGACAATTAGCCATACAAGTCAGAATATGTATACTGGAAGGAATCCGATGAGCTATAACGCTCTTTTTCTTTATTCTCACACTGGGCACAACACTGGCCAACACTGGTTCTTCCTCTCACTGAATATAACTCTAGGCAATAACACCTCTACTGGCTACACGCACAGCCGATTACTCGGCGTGGTTCCCTCGATCTCACTCGTCCCCGCCGCTGGCTGGCCGCGATGGAACCCACGCAGGAGATGTTCCACGTGGCCGGACGACGGAGAGAGATGTCGGTGAGCAGCGACACAGCCAGGACCCAGGACCCCACACATGAGCCCCAAGCTCCGGGTCCGCTCCCCCCTTATATCCCCCCAGGCGTGGCTAGGCCCCGCCTCCGGCCACGCCCTCTCGTGGAACCTTCGAGCAGGTTCCCGGAGCGTCTCGGCTAACCCCACCTGTTACCTTTGCCCCAGATGCGCCTCTTTCTCTGATTGGCTGTTACCTCTGTGCCTGTACCCGTGAATCCCTTCCCAGGCCAGCAGGTGTCACTTTGTCATGTCAGCAGGTGTAACCCTGTCATTACACAGACAATGGACAGGAAGTAAAAGATCAATGGGCTCGCATAATGTGCATGCATAATGTACGTTGACTCATTAATCCCCCCCCCCCCCCCGCCACTTTGCGCAAGAAGATTGCACAAGTGCTGGCAAAACGTCGCACTCAGATTGTAAATGTTGTGGCTTGGCTCTCCAACACACCGGTGTGCTTTATTAGTAACGAATTGGCATGTTCTATTTATGTGACAAGCCTCGCTAATTGGCTGTGTCGGGTGGTGGCGGGTTTAACGACAAATTTACATATTTACGCGATCTAACCCAAAAAAAAACCTGTATTATACCCCACCCACGTTTCGAATCTAGGTGACCCCTTACCAACAAAGTCTGAAAAATTGAGCGATTTTGGGACACCTGAGACTTTGCAAAGCATTACATGGTTACAAAAAAACAACCTACCTGGTCCAACAGCCAGTTGAGACAATTGCAAATGTTTTTATAAAAAAAAATCGGCATTGCAAGCGATGGTTAGTTTTGGGTGCACGCATCCAAGATTAAAAAAAAAACTGTTTTGAAAAAGTGACAGGTTTTTGTAACAACCATCGCATACTTGCTAATCTCGTGGTCACTCACCTGCAAGTTTAATCTGACCAAGAATTGCTGACGTACAGCCCTTGGATTGAAAAACAGGTAACGTCTGCAGACGAGAGCAGGTAGTAGAAGTGAAGTGTGCCGGACATTACAGAACCTAAGGCAGACCTAGACCTACCTCACGCCTACGTATCCCCACC